TTTCTTCTGTGGGACGTTAGAACTGGTTAAATCCGATTGGAGCGGAGTGAAAACGTTTTGAAAGGAAGAAACGAAAGAGAATTAGGGGCAAAGATGTGCCCCCCCAACCTCCCCTCACTTTTTTGCAGATACAATAGGCACCTCCCCGCTCGAACGGCAAATTGGCTTCCGTCCCCCCAAATTAGCAAGCCGTTCCCCTTTCCTATACCCACCGCCACCAGTGCTCCACTCGCGCGTAAAAATTTCTGAACGTTCAGAAATATGCACACATTTTACCTTGCCCGTTCAGGTGAAATAAGTTGCACCAGTTTGCAACGGACGGGGAAGAAGCGTGCCCACGGGGGGAGGTACCACATGCGTCTAGACCCCTAATAAGGTGTTAAAAGCGTGAATGGGTTGCTCACACATAAATGTACTCCTCGCGGAAGTAGAAATGCCAAGTGGCAAGGACACAACAGGAAGGGGAAAAAAATGCACAAAAAAGTGGAAAAAAATTGTCCAAGAAAAGTGGAAAAAAATAGCCAAAAAAAGGGGGAAAAAATAGCCAAAATAAGGTAGAAAAAAATAGCCAAAATAAGGTAGAAAAAAATAGCCAAAAGAAGGTGGGGAAAAAAAAACGACATCACTGCTGACCTTTCGCTAGCCACCCTTTTAACCGCTGGAAAAAGTGAAGAAGTCCAACGCAGGCTAGATGGTCATTATGTCTGTTGCCTTCTAGCCACAAACCTGTTTGATTGGTCCTTCTGTTTAACTCCTTACGGAAGTTTACCCGCTTTGGGAAACTCAATTATATGTTTTTGTGATGGGGGGGTACGCACAGCATGCATTGAGCATTTTTTTTTGTTTTGTTTTCCCAATTTTTGTTGCATTCTCGATAGTAGTTAAGTTACATTTCTGACTTGCAACTTTTCGCATGTGCGTTGTGTGTATATCTCTTTTTTTCGTTTTTTTTCTTAACCCCGTATAAGAAGATCAGATCGTGCTCGACAATTTTAGCCACATGTGTGTGAAATTATTTCTCTGTCCGCCTTTTTTTTTTTTTACCCCTTCCGTTTTGTTACCAATTTGAGCATTCCACTGCTCAGTCAGCGCCTTCGTCATTCGACGTGTGCCCGCCAACCGACACATCACCGCGAGCTTATACCACCTCGCATCTCCGCCAACTTATACCTCCTCGCACCCAATGGAGTTCTCTTCCTATGCTGGGTTGAGCTCTGAACGCCTGGCGTGCCTCCAGAACATAGACATTCGCCGCAAGTCCGTGTACAACGGATCGAACTTTTCCTACGGGAACAACATTTACGAAGTGTTACATAACTGCTGTACAGAGGAGTTGAAAAATGAGGAAGACACGATTGGCATCGATCCGTTTGGCAATAGGTACGCCCCGAAGAGTTTCAATCCCCGCGACAGGCACAACTGCGACTACAATTACGCGGGCCTGCGGTCGGAAATTAAGAACAGCATCAATTTACGCAACCGAAGAATCAAAAGTGACCTGAATCTCCACGGGGGGGAGGCCTTAAAGGACGCCATACAGCATAATGTAAGGGAAGAAGAGGTTAGCAGCCCCAAGCACTTCCTATCAGACAAAGGCTACGTCTTAACTCCGAAGAGGTGCCTAGCCAGACATGTGAATGATAGCGAAATCGATAAGTATTTTTCCACCAAGTATGCTGTGACGGACAAGTCCAGTGGACGGACCGAAATTATGGTGGAGAGGAAACCTGGGTGCTCGAATATCATCGTACAAAACTTCTCCGAGTTTGATGCCTATGCCACGTACAAGCGACAGGACGAGCGGAAGAAGAGCCGGGACTCCTTTGTTCAAACGAAGATGGTGAGTGGGGGGGAAAGCTGACATGTCTGGGAGCCGCTCCACAGAGGAGTCACAGAGAGTGCGCAATGAGTGATTCGAGTGATTCGAATGGGATGCGTGATCCGAGTGGGACACACGCTGCGTTTACATGTAGTAGTAGCGGTGGTGGCTGCCGATCAGGGCAGCCAAAAACAGTGCCGTAAAGAACTGTCAAAAGCTGACCCGTTCGTCCTCTGCCGCTGAGTGCCACCTCGCAGAAGTGTCCTTCCAGCAAGTGCTTACCCGCATTGCAGAATGTGTGGCACGCACCGTCGTGGCATTTCTTGACCAGGAGGACCAGCAGCACCACCAGAAGCAGCATCACCAATGATACATTTCCTTTCCCCCTTCTTTGTCACCTCAGGGCATCGTGCCGAAGGACGGGACGCCCACCGATGATAAAAAATGCAAAGCGAGCGCTCTATTTACACAAGTCCACCGAAGTGACAACATCGCACCAGAGAATTATTGGCTCTGTCCCACCGTGGACAGCGAGAAGAGAGAAAAAAAAAAAATTTTTGCCTAAACTTCTGCGTTCATTTCCTGTGTAGTTACCCGCATCGCAGAGCGGTCTCGTCGGGAGAACCTCTGCGACTTTGTGACCCGTTCGCCACTCCGACTTTGTGACCCGTTCGCCGCTGCGCTGGGGCATCTCCCCACGGCGTAGCCTCCTCTAATGAGCGCCTAAACACAACAGTAACGATTAATGTGCTCCATTTTGTCAATATTCTGCAAGCTGTTCCCACACGGGGGGTTTGTTCCGCTGCGTAGCCTTTAGCGCGTTTCATTCACTCCTTCGCTGCGTAGCTGTTATCGCGTTCTCTTTACTCCTCCGCTGAGTAGCCCTTACTGCGTTTCCTTTACCCCTTCACCGCGCCTCCTTTATCACTTGTTCTGCGGCTCACACTTCCCCCTTCAAGCGGCTGTAAATATTAAGCAGGACGACGGTAGACAAGGCGAAGGTTAGGGTGATGACGAGCACCCCGGGGCCCACCTTGTCTGTGTAGTTGATTGGTTCCTTGTTGATGAGCGCCTCTGCTCTCTTGAGATAAATGTGGAAGGAGTAGAGGATGAAGAAGATGGCCACTGGGGCCATGATCACTCCAGAGGCGAATCCATACGAATTGGAAAAATTCAAAAGGGTTATAGAAATGGTTGAGAGGAGGACACTTGTGTTGAGCCACTGCAGTAGGGTCCTCTCATTGGCAAAAAACGTCTTGGGTTCAACTCTGACGACTGCAGTTTTGGGTCTTTTTATCTCAACGACGTTGTTTTTACAAAAAAATATTTTCTTGAAAAAGGAGATGATCCAACAGGAGGAGGATTTATTACCCTTAGAGGGAATCTCCTCCACAGGGTCTAGAAGAGGTTCATACAGATTGTTGTCTTCCGCGAGAGTGTGTGTGACGGTGCATTGTTTCTCCTTTTGGTGAGACTTCTTCCTGGGGGTGTTGCTACTGTCTCGATTGTATGGTCCATGAATGTAATTCCCCGGTTTGGTGCAGTAGTCTCCACTGCATGTACTGTCTATGTTTAAATTGATGTGACGAGAAGATGTGGACTTATTCCTTTCGATCTCGTTTCGAAAAATGACTTCACTCTCGTGAGCAATTCTTGCAGATGCACCAGTGTAGGTGATTCCCTTCTTGCGCCCCTTGCGCTCGTCTTTTTTTCCATTAGGATGCTTCTCCACCCTTTCTGTGTACTCGATTGTATTTTCACTCGAGCTGAGATCTGTGTCGTGGTCCTCTTCGAACAAAATGGATTTGTTGCTTCCTTTGCCTCGGAGGGTCCCACTTTTGCCACCATTGCTGGGTTTTCTATTTTGCTTTTGCTGCGCTTTCCTTTGCTTTGCTTCCCCTTGCCTTCTTCCCACGTCTATGTCTACACCTACCGGTACTTCTACGTCTACTCCTAGTCCTCCCTTCTTCTCCTTCTTCCCCTTCTGCTTCCCGTCCGATGCGTTTCCCTTTACCCCCTGGGTGTCTGTGTAGATGCGCCAGTGGGGGGCTGTCGAAATGCGATGGGGGTAAAGCATGGAGATGCCTTGCAGGTAGGAAGAGTATCCCCAAATTTCTTTCACTACCCCCCCTAGGTGGCTGAGTTGGAAGGAGAAGTCCCTGTTGGAGGAGGATTCCTTCACGTTGATGTCGATGACCGCATAGTCGAAGTACGCGTACTTTCTCTTTTTTTCCTTCATAGTGCTTTCGATTTCGCTTTCTTCTTCGCCGTATGTTTTGTACTCTGCCCCATGGTGGTTTCCCTCACTTCGTACATCGTTATGCTGCCTTACTTTGCCCGGTTCGTCCAACTCACTGTGTTCTCCTTCGTCAGAGTCTACCTCCTCACACCCGTGAATGGCCCCCTTATCTGTGTGAACCCAGTAGGAGATATTCTCATCTATGTAGCCACTAACATTGTCATCTCCAAAGTGGATTCTGTTCAGTTTGCTTTTGAGGCAGCTCATCAGGTTGTTATTCTGAAGGTCACGGATGCACCTCTCGTAGTGGTGCATAGGTAGCGAGTCTGCATCCTGAACCCCTAAACCTTGTAGTGACTGTGAACCATGGACGCTAGACCCTAAAGCATGGGACGGACTGGAGGAACCTCCCTTCTTCCTCAGATTGTACAAATCGTTGACGCACTCTATTTTGAGGTCCTCCTGGGGCACGTCCTTAGCGAAGACGTACTTCTCATTGGGGTCAAAGCTGGGTTCAAATAAATTAAAATGCTGAATCACCGTTTTGGTGGATTCTTTCTCTGCATCTGTGTAGCGATAACATCGCAACCGAACAGATTGAGTACACCCCCGATGGTTACTCCCTCCATGGTGATCACTCCGGTTGACACACTTGTGGTAGCTGCTAAACGTAGAGTCATCAAAATAGATAGTGGTAAGCTCGTTTTGTACCTTCGAGGTGGAAATTAATCCAAGGAAGATTTCGAACGGGGGTATCAATTCATGTTCTTTCAAATCGTAGTAATGGAAGGTATAGTATTTACTGATTTCCACTTTGGCATTGATTAGGTCTTGCGCCTTTACTATATATTTGGTGTGCTTGATGGGGATTCGTGGCTTCTCTCCATCGATTTGGGGAGGTACACTCTCCTTGGGTGAAGCGGAATCGGCACTCTGATGGGATTCTCCACTTGGGGAGGAACTTTTTTCGTTTCTCTTTTTTCTATCCAGGGTGGAGGTACGTGTCATTTGGTGGTGCACTTCGCTGGGGTGGTCTTCCCTAGAGTGCACTTCCCCGGAGTGTTTTTCCCCGGAGTGTCTTTCCCCGTGGGAGCTCCCCTCTGGTGGCCTCGGAGGGAGGAGGCTGTGCGTCGTGGAAACTACCCGATGATCAGTTGACTCTCCCTCGAGGTTGTCCCCCGTGCTGACATTCGAAGAGGTCGCCTTTGAAACCTCCCGATAGTGTTTATAACAAAGAGACAAAATGCAAAGAAGTAGGTTCATGTCGTAGTTCATGAAGAAGCTCTTCATCACAACAGTGATGTAGAAGGATGAACTGACCACCTTATCATTATGTTTATCAAATTTTTTTGTAATTTTTGTGAACCCAGTAAAATTGATGATTCTGTAGGTCTGAAGAAACTTCAATGTATCTGCCAATCCGTTTAGTTTCTTCATAATTTGAGGCATGTCAAGAAGAGAGCTTCTTTTTTGCAATATCTCCAGACAGATCTTCATATCGTCATACCACTCCTTTATCATTTTTTTCGTGAAGTTATTAATTTTTTCCAACTCTCCATTGAGGATGTTCTGAAATCTGGACTCGGCCGATTGATACTCTGCTCCACTCAGCGCCCGACTGCTGCCAAAGTTGTTTGTCACTTCCTTTATGGTGAACGTGGAGGTGTCTTTCCCTGCGGTGGTGAACCGGATGAGAAGCGGATGAGAAGCGGATGAGAAGCGGATGAGAAGCGGCTGAGAAGCGGATGAGAAGCGGATGAGAAGCGGATGAGAAGCAGATGAGAAGCGAATGAGAAGCCCGTGTGAATGTTATGTGAATCTTATGTGCGGCGGGGCCACAGATGCTCGCCCCCTCCATCTGGTTGCTCCTCCCTTTCGCGAAAGTGCAAACTATGAAGATACACCCATTAAGTAAACTTCTCTGACCGCACAACCGCGACACCATGTAAATGAAAAACACACACGATAGGCGATGCAGACCCCGTGGGTTCAAATCACCTGTTATCAGCCGGATGGCCTTCTTCATTTCTTTGTAGGCAATGTAGTGCTCCCTGTACTTGGGGTGCGCCCGCTGCTGCAGCTTCTTACTGAATTTCATGGCGCGCGGGGGGGAAGACGTTGTGAGGTGGCGAAGTGGTGAATCGGTCAAGTGGCGAGGTGGAAGAAAAACCTCGCATGTTCTGAGCAACTGCAGAAGGGCTGCAAAACGATTGCAGGGTGATTGCTGAACGACGACAGCTCCGCCCCTGACTCTGCGTATCACCCCGCGGGCAGCAGCTTTCTACGGATTTCCAAAACGCACACCGTTCGAGGATACGTATAGACCCCCTTCCCGTTCGGAGGCAGCCGCGCAATTGGGAAATTACTCACACGTGTTACTCTGCGTGTAACTGCGCCTATAGATTCACTGTACGCACCAGCTTTCCCTCTTTCCCCCTTTTTTTTTTTTTTTGTTCTTTCTTTACTCTCCAAATGGATGCATTCGAAGAAGCTGAGTCCAGTCCGAAGTGTAGGCTTCTTCTTTTTTTTTTTTTTTTTTTTAAACCAGAGTCTCCCTCTGGTGCCTCCCACGGGGGAACAACCTACCATAGCAGGAAGAAACAATAGATGCATGTATGTACATACGGATGTAGATTATACGTATACAAGTGTAGAGCAATTTTTTTTTTTTTTTTTTTTTTTTTTCCCCGTTTTGAGGCACTGACTCAAGCACCTTTGAAGTGTTAGCACCAGGGGGGAGAACCTCCCCCCCACCCCCGTGAGTGGGCGACCCTCCTTCAATTAGAAAAAAAAGGGCACACTTAAATAAAGAGTTAAAAATGCAAAACGCAGATTCGTTTTTCCTTCTCATGTAGAGTTCGGAATCTTTGTCCTGTTGGTTGGTACCATTTGGGAATGCACCCAAAGAAGGGGGGTTCAGACAAAGGGGAAAAAAAAAAAAAAAAAAAAAAAATAAGGGATACTTTCCTTTCTTACCTTTGGCGCATGAGTTCATCCCCCCGGATTACAGAAAGGGAGGATAGCTTGGTCTCACCACGTCGCGCTGTGCTGTTGCCCCTATGTGTATGCCTGTGCCGCTTCGCTCCCACCACCACCATGCAGAAGTAAACCAAAAAGTGAGAACCGACTGTGGAGGGGACCCCCCCACCACTGGAGAACCAGATGTGAACGCACACGTGCCGTCTAACTACTCGTTAGGTAGAAGTGGAATCGTGCAAGGTGTAACTGTATGGGGACCTCCTACAGGAGTGGCAGCGTCGATGAGCCCACACCTCTTTCTATTTTGTTCTATTTTATTTTTTTTCTTTTTTGTTCTATTCTTCTCTTTTTTTTCTTTTTTTTTTCTTTCTGACCGCTTGGTAAAGCCCCAGGAAGGGCGACTCCTCCTGGGATCCCATTGAAGAACACATGCTGGGATGCTCCAAAAGGGGGTTCCCCCCGGCAAGTTACCCAACTAGTGCAGGTATATTCTTTTTTTTTTAAGATGATGTATCCTCTTCGCTATGATAGACTGTTCCTCCCGTTTGCTTCCCTATCCGATGGTTTAAATTCTGTGTAAGAAGTTGCCACGGGGCGCACAGAAATAAACGTGCAGGGGGGGAAATGGCGAAGTGATGAAGTGGTTGGCACCATCTCAGGTGTGAGGCGGCACTGTTGCACATGGATGCCAGCCGCCGTCGTCGACTTCTCTCCCGTTGTGTGCCTCCCCACGCAGAGACAGACGTGCCGCGAAAATCGCGTCGTTCCAAAGTGAAGGGGTAAAGACAATTATAAGCCAAAAGAAGAAGAAGAAGAAGAAAAAAAAAAAAATTAAAAAGTG